AACCATTACAAAGGGGGCAGCGGTATTACTGTCAGAGTCTTCCATGCAGATGCACAGTAACAATGTAATGAACCAGGCACCATCACATTCTCAGTGAGGCTGTGAAAAGAAGATCAAAAGTTTTGATAGTGGGATCAGCTTTTGTTATAGTTCACAAATTTTAAGATTTATTCTTTCATGTTGTTTGAGGCACATAAACCATAAGTTTTTCTTGTGTAGTTTGTTTGTCTCTTTATTTAATATTTGTTAGGACAATCTCCATACTCTGAATACATCGACACCCAAAAAGAGAAAAAAATTGAAGAAAGTTAAACAGTGGTGAAGACTGAAAGTAGTTGTTTTTGTTTGTTTGCATCAGAATATATGTGATGAATAACAGTGTGTGTTTTACCATAAATATCTGTCTATTAAGGGTTAGAAACTTTTCCGCCTCTGCTATTGCTTGTTAAGTGAATACTCATCTGTTACTGGAGTTACCTTATTAATGTCTCTAGGGAGGCTGAGGCTGCTTAAGAGTAGTTTTATTTGGCCCTGTGACACGTCCTAAACATGACACTGGTATTCAAGAATGTAGTTGTACTCCTATCCCTCCTATTGAAGTAACAGTGCCTGTGCAGTGTATCATGAGAACAAGATGGTGTGTATATCTGAAGACATACATTAGAAGGTGTACAGGACAAGAAGATTAATTACTTGCATTATTAATCTTCTTTTGTGCAGAAGTTTCATTAGTTGAATAAGGATTTATCAAGATCTCCAAATTTTGTATCTGTTGAACCTTTCCAACTGGTGGGGACAAAGTAAAACAAGTAAAATTGGGTGATGTTGTTCTGATGTGAAGTCTGTGAAGAGTTGGTTTCTTGTGTGAATTTTCTCTTTCTTGTTATTGCTCTCACTATACAGAATCTCAGGATGAACAGGCCATCCATCAGAGAAAACATGCAGAGACAAACAGCACTAGGATTTAGTGGGATCGTATCTCTTACATCAGAAAACTTTGGCAAGTATTTGCAGCTGCAATAATATAGCTTACAGGTTCTCATCATTGCTCTTGCTAATAAATAACTTAGCTATGTTTGGTATTACCTTTCTTCTTCTCTTAACCGCGAAGGAAGAAGCTCTAGGTGTTCGAGGTGCAGGAGATGCTGACTTTCTGAACTTAGCTCGTCTTGCTGGTGTCATTTTTCCACTTATTGAGTTGGATTTTGTACGTGAACCGTTCTGAGATTGTTCCAGGTCTTTTCCATGTATCTCCTCCCATTTCTGCAACTGCATATCGACCAACATCCTTATAGAAGGTGAATGTTCCACTTTCAGGCCTTTTTGCTCTTCTTCCATCTTAAGCTCTTGGATTTCCTTTCTGATGGCCTCTGTCTTCATTGAGATCTCCTTTTCACTTGCTTGCAAAGCTTTTACCCACGCCTCAGCTGCTTCAACTTTCTTATCAGCAATTTCAACTGCCTGTCCTGCACGTCCTTTTAAGTACTCATACTCAAATCTTGAAATAGTTATTGTGGAGGTGGAAGCAGAGGCTCTACTTTTCATAGTTACATCAGTAAGTCTTTTTAGGTTGCTTAGGACAGTAGCTTCTGATAATTTGATTGTTTCAAGCTCTTGTATTGCAGCTTCCCATCTTTCCTCGGCCAAGACTGTTTCAGATTGTGTTTTCTGAATTTCTTCTTTGACTTTTGCAGCTTCCTCAATGGCAGTCACTCTTTCTTTCTCAGATTCTTCAGCTTCATTTGTCAATTGTTCAAGACTGAGCAATAAACTTGAAGCAATAGAGGTTGCTTTTCCTTCATTGTCTGATGCAGCTTCCAGTTTGGCTTTTGCCCTCAGAAGCTTCGTGTTGAGGTTCTGAATTGTCGAGTCTGCTTTGTTTCCCTTTTTCTTGAATCGAGCTGATTCCTCAGAGATGCGTTTGAGCTCATTCCTCGCAACGTCCATTGAAGCCATGAACTGAAAGCTGTCTCTTTTTATGGAAGCTAATTCATTCTTTGCTGTCTCCAAGTCTTCTTTCAATGACTGCAACAAAGATAAGTCTTTCTCCAGGAAATCAGACCCGAACCTCAAACTCTCGTTTTTCTGAGTCCATCTGTCCATATCCTTGACTTGCTTCAATTCACTTTGCAAAACTTGGACATCTGAAGTTGTCGAGGCCAGCTTTTCTTGTAGCTCCTCTGATATCTGAATTTCTTGGACCATGTCATTTATTTTCTTCCTGTTCTCCTCCATTGCTGCAGAATGTTTCTCGGCGTCTTCCCTTCTTTGAGCTTCAATTGCTCTGAATTCTTTAATTGCCTCGATTCGAGCTAGCTCAACTAGCACGAGCTCTTCATTAAGTTCCTCAACCTCCTTCCTTAACGCTTCTACTTTGCTTGAAAAAGATTGCATTTTCAAACTAGAGGTTTCTATTTCTTGCTCTGCTCTTCTTTTTTCTTCTATGATAGAAGCCATATCTTGTTTAAGCTTAATCAGCTCTTCTTTTGCATATCCCAACTCTGCTACTACTTTGGAGTGCTGATTATTCTGAGGATCCCCCCAATTTCCCCCTCTTTTTGCCGTCTTTAGTTTCTCCAAATCTTGATTCTGGACACTTAATCTTGAATTCAACTCTTCTATCCTTGAACTTAGCTCCTTCACCATCTTTCTCGCGTCCAAAAGCTCAGTTTCTGCTTGGGCTTTTTCTACCTCTGCAACTTTTCTGTTCTCACCGAGTCGCCCCATGTCCCTTCTTGCTAGGTGAAGTTGGCTGGTTCTTGCATATGGCTTCTGATAAGAGTATGCAATACTAAGGTTAGTTCACCAAAAAAGACTCAAATATGGTGAATGTAAATTGGGTAGAACATATACTAGTAGTATTTTACCTCTAAAGACTTCATAATTGAGGATTGGTTCATTGCAGAATTTCCTCTGTACAAATCAATGGCTGCCTTAACTGATGACCCTAAGCTCTCTTTCATGAAACTCTCCTCCCCTTTTGGATTGCTCTATAAATTGGCATCAAAAGAGAAGTCACTCCTTAGATGGAGCTCTGTCTGCTGCTAAGACTGTTGAAAACAAAATCTTAGAATCTTCATATACACATGTCATGGAACTATATGTACAATATAGCTAGAAGGAGAGGATATTTACCTGGTAATGGTTGGTGGAAAGTACATCAGAAAAATGGTTCATCAGTATGATTCTGGAATTGCCAGCTGGAGTAGGTGTTATGAGCTCCATAAAAAATCCATGAAATAAAAGGAAAATTGAGGAGGAGGGATAAAGCTATTGATGATTGGCTGCTATTACAAGCAAAAATCTTGTCTTTTCCTCAAGGGCAACTCAACTATCAATCTAGTGGCACAAAATGAGTTACTTACCCTTCACCCTGCCTATTTAGCAAAACAAAGAGTTTTTTTTTTTAATCAGATTATCCTTAGTATTAAATAATTAATTTTTTTTTTTTGAGTTTCAAAGCATTGTCAATAAGTTAATTTAATAAAATACACCTCTAATTAAAGTTTTCTTAAGGTGTGTGTCAGGTCAACATGAGTCCAGTAATACATCATGGAAGGAGGAGTAGTATCCTTTTTAATTTTTATAACCTGTCGGCGTATTTTATTTTTGTATTTTTGTAGTTTTTGAAAAAATAAAAAATGAGAATTGTTTTTCTAAATCGTGGCGTTTGTCTTGTCACTTGATTACTCTTGCCTTGCTGCACGTAAAACCCCCCACAGAAATGTAGTTGACTATTATTCTACATCCACACATAGCATGAGAAACAAAAACACTTGTATGTAGTTCTTAATGACACATAACAATTCAAAAGTCTGTTTATAGCCATTCTTGAGCTATCAAAACTATTTCAAAAGTCCTTTTCATTTTATTTTTTAAAAACTAAACAGCTTTTCAAATGGCGTTTGGTTGAAAGAATTTGCCCAAAAATTTGGGAATCAAACATTTCTGTCAACAATTTTAACAGATTTAAGAAGTAGGGGACCAATGTTTCAGTACAGAACAAGTATTGTTGCTACTCCCCCAGTATGTTAGGGTGCATGAGTCGCCACATCGTCAGATTCTAAACCATATGGACGGTGTTAGTAGAGGTTTAACTACTATTTCAATTTAATAGTATTATAATATGACGGTGTTCATAATTACATATTTATAAATTTAACAAATTTTTGACCGTGGTGTCCAAGAACCAAGCCAACTTAATTTACATAAACATCTGTCACCTCCACTTAATCACTTTATTCACCATTAGGCCACACACTTGAGTGCTAAAACTACTACTTGACTCATGCAAATCCATAATAGACCTTCTAATTTTTTCCCTACATGGCACTTTGAATTATGTGATTTAAAATATGTCAAGATATTTTTATGACTAAATAAGACCATGTTATTAAATATAAAATTAACAATTTAAATTAAATAATTTTCAAATACAAAGAAAATATCATTTTTTTTCTTTGGATATCCTTATATTATATGAAATTGAACAATATCCTTATCATTAATAGTCTTATCTAAAAATATCTTTATTAATAAATACTCCCTCCATTTCAAATTAATTGAATTGTTGAAACATTTTTCATTTTTTAAATTAACTTAATTGTTCAATTTTCAATACTACTTTTAAAATATTCTTCCAACTTTACGCTTCATTAGTTAGTATTTGAATTAGTTATTAATTAATGTTTAGTTATTTTAATCATAAATTTGACAATAATTAATAAGGATAAAAATAGAAAGTTAAACTTAATTTATGTCTTAATTTTCTTTTCTTAAAGAATGTGAAATACCTCAATAATTTAATTAATTTGAAATGCAGAAAGTATGTTACTATATTTTAAAAAAAACATATTCCAAACAAAATAAACATATTTATTCATCAAGAGAGAAGGAGGGAGTACATGTGCATAAAATAGATCTCAGCGATCGATCCACGGCTCTCAAGACAAATCACGTGACTGTTTGGATCGAACCGAAAGAATTGTGCGTGACACTAACAAGGCTCGTTGTACAGCTTCTCGCACCGCAACTTCAACTTGGCTCCATCAAATTCCCTCCATTCCACCGATGCCATTGTATTGATCTCAAAAATTGAAACGATATGTTGATGTACAGTTGAAGACAGGAGAGGAGATCAAATGGACGTGGAGAAATCGTCCTTATGCAATTGCGTGGTGAATTTTCTCTTGGAAGAGAACTACTTGTTATCGGCATTCGAGCTCCTTCACGAGCTTCTCGATGATGGCCGTGACGATCAGGCAATTCGTCTCAAACAGTTCTTCTCCGATCCTTCCCAATTCCCTCCTGATCAGATCTCTCGCTTCAATTCTATCAGAGGTTTGTCGTTTCTCATGTCCTTTCTATTGATTTCCTACTTACCCTATCCATTAACTAAATCCGGTGTGTTTATGCACATTTTCTGCATTTGCTATATATTGTTGTGACAATCATTTCCATACTATTTCAGCTGAAATTGAGTGAATCAATCCCTTTGATTAAGATTAGGTTGTGTTTGAGTTGTATTGTGCTTTTGACTTCTGATGAACATCATGCTGCAACAGCATTTTTTAGGACTAGCTGTTGAGTTTCAGCACCCTGACTGAGGAATCTCATGTAATATAAGAACAAAATTGAGTATACAGAATAAGTATTACATGTTTGACTGTGTAAGATTCATTCCCTCAATGAAATATTGAATGATCCGAAAATTTTAAGCCAGAGTATTTTGTTGTATAAATTGGAGGAATAAGTGATTCTCTATGCGTATTTCGTTATTATGAATGGTGAAACATGTTTGCTTGTGCTAGAATCTTGGTGTTATTGACTTGACTTAGACATTTAGCATACTAATTTTGTAAATGAGGTAATAGAGATAACGATGCTTATAATTAATTAATTACCATCGACCATAAGGTGGCTATGGAAAATATTTAAATAGAACAAGGGCTTTAGCAAGAAAAGGAGCTTAAGGGTGGTCATTCATTTTCTTTTGAAATCCGGAGGATGCCATAAACATCATTTACTCAGTTAGGGTGTTCTAACATATCATGGTAAAATAGTTTAGCTCAGTAGTTTTTCCAATGTCAGTTATTGTTGTGGTCTTTAGCGGAGCTCTTTTTTCCTTTTCCATTAGCTGTATTTCTTCTTGGGTGCTTGTCATGTTGTTACTTTTTTTACTTTTTTTTTGTTTTGTTTATGATGGTGGTGTTTGGATCAACTGTGCACACCTCGGCCAATCATCAAGCAGATTGCTATAGCCCTCACGTATAGGTGGCGGTTGGTGGGTAAACTGCCACCAAGGTTGGAGCAGATGGGTTTATGTCCTTGTTTTTTTTTTCTCAATAGCTTGTTGTAGTGAAATGTCCTGCAAGCGATATTGGTTCGTGTGTGTATATTGTCGGTAGGATATTTTCCTTTCAATTGAAACCAAGAGAACCTATTGCTTTCCATGTGAGTAGTCTGTCCTTTTCTGTTCTGACCAAGAATGTTTGGATTTCGTGAACAACATGAGCAATTTATGAAAGTTTCATGGAAAAGTTGCTATTTTCTTCAATAACTCTTGGTAATTTCCCCCCCCCTCCCAAAAAAAAAAGAGGAAGAAAAAGAAGGAAAGAGAAAAACTTTGAAGCTTCATATGTATTTTTTTCTGTCAAAGTGGAAGTTCAAATTGTTATTACACTTTTTTTTGATGTTATTATGTACATTATATGTATGAAAATTTTGGGTAGAAAAGTTTCTACATTAATGTCGGCAAAAAGATTGAAGACCGGTCAATTTATGCATTGGTGGTCAAGAATTCAAGTTATGGTAGTATATAAATCAACAAAGATACATCATGATGGCTAGATCTCCAAATTTAGCACTTCGAATGAAATCTCTTAGAAAATTAGAACATTGATATTTGGTTCAGTAAAGAAAACCTCAAATACATTTACATGTGAGTTAGCCCTGCACAATCTTGAAGCTTGTTTAATTGAGCTTGTCTTCTGCTGAAGTTCTTTATGTTAAGAACAAATGATTAACCAAAAAAAATAAGAACTATATGCTGGTTTTAAAAATAAGATGCCGTCGTGTATGAGAAGAGCGACCTGCAACTGGTGGCATATACTAACATTTTATGATGGTGGTGTCCCGGCCAGTTTGTGCATACCTCAACTATTCCATCAGGGTACTTGCTACCTCCCACCAGCACAAGTAGTGCTTAACTTTGCCACCAAAGATTAGGTAAATTGGAAGAAATCGCCTAGTTTTTCTGGTGGAGTATACCATTTAATTGAGTAAGAGTCCAACATTTTGCAATTAAATTCTGTGATAAGGATTTTGACGATGCAGCCTTTTGGTATGCGATTTTTAGACAAAGCTTTATCCATCAGTTTAGAATGTCACATTCAATAACAGAGGCTTCAAATAGATTTTGAAATCATTGCTAGAGGTTTAGCCACCATTTTCCACTTCAGAGAAAAGGAGTGGGACTGGGGGTATCTTGATTTGGATTTGGCTGAATTTCACTGATTCTGTGTAGAATCTCAAGCATTTTGTTCTTCATTATTGACAGTGTTAAGTGGTAATAATTACAACCTCACTTATACTTTTTAGTTCTCATGGTCCTATGTATAATTTATCTTTCATGACTAATAGCTATTCATTTATGAAAACAGTTGCAGATCCCCAAAGTTTGCTTGAAGAGAAAGAAGCTCTGGAAGAAAAGTTGGCACTCTGTGAATATGAGTTTCGTTTATCTCAAGAGGACATTGTGCAGCTAAAGAGTGAGTTGCAAAAGAAAAGTCAGACTATTCCTTGTCCAATAAGTGGTATATCCCTAAAACTGTTCTGCATTTTAATTGCCTCTTCTAATATTAACTTCATTTCCTTTGCTCATTCATTCAGATAAAGTTCTTGCAAATGTTAACTAGTCTAGTCTGTAATAATATTTTTAATTGAAGTTGTATCACGAGGTAGATGTAGAATTGATGTCAGGATAAATGATAGGCTCATCATGTCTGAGCTTAAGGTAGTTTTTGGAAGGATTGGTGATTCTGTCATAGATATGGGTTGCATATGTCTGCGTTGAATATTGTCATTTTGTATATGTGAATAGATCTGTATATTCATCATGCAGATTCAAAGATCGATCCCTCTGAAAACCATGGAACGGATTTTCAACAGCAGAAGAGGGAAGGTTCTTTCTCTGATTTGGGTCCTTTGAAGGATAATGAGCGGAAGGATTTGAACTATGCTGTAAAGGAGTATTTACTATTAGCAGGATATCGCTTGACTGCAATGACATTATTGGAAGAGGTAATAATTGATAGAAAGGCGACTTGCTGATTTCTTGATGTTCATCACTAAACTGAAGAAGAATTGCATTTTTATCTACATTGTGTCATGGAGCTATATGCTCAGTTTTCCATATCTTCTTCTTCTGTATTTCCACCTGTTTGGTCTATTAATTATGATAACCTAAAAATTTGGTGCTTCAGCTATGTTAAACATAAATGCTGCAGTCGACATCTTCATGACAGAAATTACAAGTACTTATATTGAGAAATGATTAGCCAAATTCCCGGTAGAACTTTAAGTAGCGTGGCCTCTTTTCTTGATTTATGTTAAATGTGAAGATATAGTAAGAAGTGTGTCCTTTAAACACGGTTCCCTATATCCCCAGCGCCTGCCCTAAAATTCAAAAGACCATTGGATTTATTTTGGAGCACACATGATGTTCTGACGTGTATAGATAATGGGTAGACTTTGAAAAATCCCCCTCGCATATAGAAATTATCACATTTTCAATAAATTTTAGTTACTATATGAAAATGATCCTATGGGACTGCTAGGTTTCTATAAAAGGTATAAAAAATAATTCAATATTCTCCAGTACTCCCTTGTTTCAATTTATATGGCATAGTTTGACTAATATGGAGTTCAAGAAAGAACTGAAAACTCTTAAAACTTGTAAGCTTAGACATGCCATAGCATTTGTATGGTCGTAAGACTTTTGAAAACTTGTGGTCTGAAACATGTGATGACATTTGCATGGCTATAAAAGTTCGTCATTAAGCGTAAATTGAGAAGCTTAAATTAAGTTTTTTTTTTCAAAAAAGTTTAGAAAGTTATATATCATTTTGGAGAGGACTAAAAAGGAAATGTTGTCACACAAACTGGAATGGAGGGAATATGTTCTAAGGTGACTACCACTTAGGTGTAGAAGATATTATATTATATCCCACAATTACAAGGGAAAAACTGAGACTATGAGCAAATGTCAAGGTAATGAATCCTTCCCAAGAAGAGAAAGTAAAATAATTGATTCTTTTTTTTGATAAAGAAAAAAAAAAAATAATAATAAAAAATAAAAAAATAATTGATTCTATACTAGCAACCAATGCCTTTTTTTTTAAATTCTATTCAACCAGGCCGCATTTACGTCTTGAACTTCACTTTGTAAAAACTGAGACTATGAGCAGATATCAAGGTAATCAATGCTTCCCCAGAAGAGAAAGTAAAATAATTGATTCTATACTAGCAACCAATGCCTTATGTTTAATTCTATTCAATCAGGCCGCAGTTACGTCTTGAACTTCACTTTGTAATCACCTTTGCTTCCGGTTGGTCAAGAGTCAGGATTAGACTAGCAGTTGGGGTTGTACAAGATATGAGAAAATGTAAAGGCAAAGGTTCATTCCATAATCAGATTAGGAAAATTTATTCCTCATGTACTAGAGACCAAGAATTTCTCTTTTTCATTCAACCGTCAACATTTCAATGAACCATGATATTCAGCTTGCCAATTATCTCAGAAAATGGAACAATTTTTAGATATTATGGATTGGAGGTAATTAAAAGCAAGTTTGGGACACATCTCAGTAAGGCAGTTGTTTTTTCAGAGTTAAAATCTTGGAAACTACTTAGAAATATTTCATGGCTTCTTCTAAAATATCAGCCCTTGGAAATCTTATACTGGAAAGAGTAAAAACTTGGTTTATAAAAGTAGTATTTCAGGATAGGGGCCTCACCTCCAGCCATGAGGTTGGGGATTCGATTCACCCAGGGATCAAAATTGGAAAAACTTGCTGTTTGGCTCCTGGGCGGGGAAGTTTAGGGGGAAGGGTGCTATTTACCATATCCCACCAAACGTAAAAGGGTACGCTGGCACGGTTTGAATTGGGTAATGAGTTTTCTATTATTCTATCATCGTCTTTCAGATGCCTTTACTGTACAGCCCCTCATCTAATTTATGCACTTACTAGGCGGAGGGCCTTGACCATAACAGGACTAATGTGTGAGACATGTGCATCAGATCGTTGGCACTATGCTGAGATGTCATTTTAGAAGTGTTGGTAACTTATTTATTATGTATGACAGGTTACTGATCAAGACCTAGATGTTCAGCAGAACTCCTCTGCATGCATTCCAGATGCTTTGCGCCATTACTATTACCAGTACCTGTCTTCCACCTCAGAGGCTGCTGAGGTACTTTTTGAACAGTTGATACAACCAGTTTTACGACATGTATGCTTGCCACTAAAATCCATCTGGGTAGTAAAATCTACGTTAATATCATATGTGTACACTTCACATCTCTTACAGTCAAGCTAGGGTAACTACAAATTTTAAGTGATTTACTCTATCCTTCCTTCTTCCAGCACTGAATTATAATTCTCTATTTTGTCACGATTTAATTTGGGAAGGAACAATACATCCATCCAGTTATCTTATTGTGCATTAGGTATGAATGCTTTCTCTTTCAAGTCCTGGTTTTGTCTTTGCATACCTTACTTGCATCACATCTGATTTTGCTTACAATTCTATTTTCTCCTGTCTGCTATTAGAGACCTTCGGATACTGTTTGGTGTCAAATTTAGGCCTTCAGATCTAAGACTAGTCCAATATTAATCTTTTTTTCCTATTATTTTTTTTTGAGTTTAGACAATACAGAGTAAGCCCTTCAACTGTTTTAAATATATTTTCAGACTATAATGAGGAGGTAATCCCACTTAGCTTGCCTGAATGTGATTGGGCTCCGACTCCTGTTGCAGCCTGTTAATGGTGACCAGCTTTCTAGCAATAATTTTTCACTATCCAGGACCACTCACCCATCTTATCCTCTCCGCTTCCTTTCAGACGGAAATTCAATCAAGAAATTCTGCCAATTCATTTCTGCCACTTAAACTCTAGCCTGCATCATCCATGATTCCTAAGCCCATCTCTGCAAGGAAGTCCTAGAGAAAAGAAGCCTCACTCTCTCTAGATAAGCATTAAAGTAAAACATTTATCCTCTATGTCTGCGTAATTATACTGCTTTTTTGAACAAGAACGTGAATTGCTTGATACTTCTCTATCAAATGTCTTAAAGTTGGTGGGAGCAGTCGACAACAGAACTGACAAAGTTCTTACTTTATTTACTGAAAACTCTACACATATGTCGCTGGTGCTTTATTCTCGTGTGCTATTTTTGAAAAGAATCGTGGCTTATTTGTAGGAAAAAATTGCTATGCTTAGAGAAAACGAGTCGTTGGTGAAAGAAAATGACAAGCTGAAACATGAAAAGCAGTCCTTGCTGAAGAGTAAAGATATGGCAGATGCCCAAGTCAAAGTATTGGCAAAATCCTTAGAAGCATTGCAGAAGGAAATGAAGGACAAGGAGATTCTGGTAATTTCTTTTGTGTGTTCTATGTTTTTACAAGAGTTTTCATGTGTAGCATGCACATACCTCATAGTTGAAGAATCGTACTTCAGGTTCAGAGTTTGAAACAGTCTCTAGAGAGTCAAAGACAAGAATTGAATGAATGCAGAGCTGAAATAACTTCGCTAAAAATGCATATAGAGGGTGCTCGTTCTGCTCGGAATTTCGTAGCAAGTGATTTTGAAGGTGTTGACTTACCATCAACAGACAGTTACAAGGAAGAGATAAAGGTTCTACAGAATGAAATCCAGAGGTTGAAACTGGCAACAAATTCTTTGAACAGCGAGTCTCTTGAAAATATCAATGAAGAAACTAGAAATACATGTCCTGAAAATGAAGTTGAAAAATCAAGTGATCATAATGTCTTTGATGATTCAGCTGGTGTTTCTTCTGGAGACTTAGGAGCTGCAGGTTCTCAGTTATCGATGACTCAAACCTCTGATTCTCAGTTATTGATGACTCAAACCTCTGCTGACACAATTACTGAACCTGAGAGAGTAGTAGAAGTTTCACATGATAATTGTGTTGGTGATAAAGTTGAGAATGTACTCAAACAAAATGGTGAGCTACCTTCAGAAGCTAAAGGACTAATCTTGAAACCAGACAATCTATTGGTTGAATCAAATGCTCAAAAGATTGTAAGCTCTCTCTCTCTCTCTCAGATATATACATGGTAACCCTTACCTGGTAACATTTTTGCTAGGCAATTATGCTTTAAATTTTTTGGATTTCGCAGGGTTTGGGGACTATTCAGATCCTTTCAGATGCATTGCCAAAAATTGTACCTTATGTATTGATCAACCACCGAGAGGTATGTTTTGCCATTTTTTATTCTAAAACTTATTCTTCTGAATTATGATGCTCTAACCCCTTAACTTATCCTTCTGAGAAAATCTTTTCAAGTTTTATATATTTTTCCCCTGAAAAACATGTGCTCGTTGAGTTTTTCCAAGAAAAAGTTAAATTTCCAATGAAGTTGTGCTTGAAGGGTGTTTTTCCATTGAAAAAGTCTCTTCCCACTCACAATTTTTTTTACATATCTTAAAAAAAAAAGCTACAACTATCCTAACAAATCTTCAACTTCCACTCACTTTTCTTTCCAAATTTTGTTTCAACAGCTCCTAAATAATTTTCAGCAACAATAATGGATTTAAAAAAATTCTAGACTAAGTAGCCGGCATTCCATTTTATTGGTGTTGTATCTTGCAGGAGCTTCTTCCTCTTATAATGTGCGCAATTGAGCGCCACCCAGATAGCAGTACACGGGATTCCTTGACCCATACATTATTCAACTTAATCAAGCGTCCCGATGAAGAACAGAGACGGATTATAATGGATGTAAGACTGCAAAACCTTTGTTTCATACTAGAATTTCGTCAAAAAGTAGAGCATTCCACGAAATTTTTGTATCATGTTTAGGCTTGTGTCACTCTTGCCAGAAATGTTGGAGAGATGAGGACGGAAACTGAACTACTTCCTCAGTGTTGGGAACAAGTGAGATTTATTTCTATCCATTCTGCTCGAAGCTCTCATGATTTTACCATATACTCCATTTACTCTTGCTACTTCACACTGGGTGTAATTGTTGTGATGTGTAGATCAATCACATGTATGAGGAGCGCCGCTTGCTAGTTGCTCAATCTTGTGGGGAACTTGCTGAATTCGTGCGCCCTGAGATCCGAGATTCTCTTATCTTGTCTATTGTGCAACAGCTCATTGAGGATTCTGCTACAGTTGTTCGGGAGGCTTCTGCTCATAACTTGGCGTTGCTTCTGCCTCTCTTCCCAAGTAGGGACAAATATTTCAAGGTCAGCCTCACTACATAAGCTTCGAGGCAATCATGGAGAAGAAATGTGACTTGAGAGAATTTCCCACAAAGTAAGCTCCGTAGTCTAGGAATGGAGCATTTTCCCGCCCCTGGTCTTAATGTGGCTGCCCAAACTGATTAGATGATAGCATATACATAAATGGATTTTCTCCAATTCCTATTTTTTTTGTTGTGTGCGTAAAGGTTGAGGAGATGATGTTTCAATTGGTGTGTGATCCATCTGGAGTGGTAGTGGAAACAACAATCAAGGAACTTGTTCCAGCTTTAGTAAACTGGGGGAAGGAATTGGATCACTTGCTACAAGTCTTACTATCTCATACTTTGGGCTCTGCTCAGGTATGGATTCTGCATTTACTTAGTTCTCCTCACTGAAGCAGTAACTTGTCTTAAACATGGAGCTGAAACATTATCCCTACTTCCAGCGTTGTCAACCACTTTCAGGGGTGGAAGGTTCTATTGAGTCACATCTTCGTGCTTTAGGAGAGAGAGAGCGGTGGAACATAGATGTTCTGCTGCGCTTACTGACGGAGTTGTTTCCATTTGTACGCAAGAAAGCTATTGATACCTGTCCATTCCCATTGGTTTCGGATGATGAAAGACTAGTCTTTTCTACTTTAGTTCTTGAACAGTATGCTGGGTAATATCCCCTTTTACCTGCGTTTCTAATCTACCTTTCTATTCCTTCTTCAAAGGTGCTCTCACAATGTATAGTTAATACTTGCTAGATATTTGAATTGTCTATGCAGAGGAAAGATGGACTGGCCTTCTTTTGAGTGGTTGCATATCGACTGCTTTTCAGCATTGATTGAACTAGCCTCTCTATTACCTCAGAAGGAAGATAACCTAAGGAATCGAATCACGCGGGTAGCTTGAATTGTTTCTCTTAACTTTTGGTGCTTTAGTTTTGGAAATGCCTCCTTGTTCCCGGATTCGTCTTTAATTTTGCAATGCAGTTTTTATTGGCAGTTTCAGACCTGCTCGGGGAACCTTACCTGACACACATCATGCTACCTGTATTCTTGGTGGCAGTTGGTGATGATGGTGATTTATCATATTTCCCTGCAACATGCCAATCAAGAATAAGAGGTAATGAGTTAAAAACTTCTTGTTTTCATCAAACCTTTTAAGTGATAGATCATGTTTAGACCTTACCAAATTGGTTTTGATTTGCTCCTCAACAGGTTTGAAACCAAAAACTGCAGTAGCTGGAAGACTTGCTACCATCGGTGTCCTGCCTCTCCTGCTGGCAGGTGTTTTAGGATCTCCTAGGAAGCATGAACTACTGACAGAGTACTTGAGAAATCTCTTGATTCAAACTTCAGGACAAGAGAGTCAGACAGTGAAGCGCGAGATTTTCTTTTCTGTTCGCTTTCTTTGGTTTGTGCCATTTTAATAAAGGCATTACAGTTCTGTGTCTGAACTCCTTAGATGATGGCTGACTATATTTTTCTGCAGCACTTTTGATGAACATCACAATATGATTTTTAACATCCTCTGGGAAATGGTTGTGAGCTCTGAAATAAACATGAAGGCGACAGCTGCCAATCTTTTTAAAGTCATTGTAAGACCTTTGGTTTTTGTGAAATTGCTTAAATTTAAGCAAGGTCTGCGACTTACTTTGATCATTCTTGTTTTTTCACCAGGTTCCATGTATTGATGCCAAGGTTGCCTCAACACATGTTTTGCCTGCTCTTGTAACGCTTGGTTCTGACCAAAACTTGAATGTTAAATATGCCAGTATTGATGCTTTCGGAGCTGTGGCACAGCAGTATAAAAATGATGCGGTATAGGGTTTTTGCTTAAATATCTGGTGTCATTCTTGTTGTGTTCATCTAGAGGCTTTAATGAGACGTTCTGTTCTAACTTTCTCGCTAGATTGTTGATAAAATACGTGTCCAAATGGATGCTTTTCTTGAGGATGGATCACATGAAGCTACATTAGCTGTAGTTCGTGCATTGGTGATGGCAGTGCCACATACCACGGAGGGACTTAGAGATTATATCCTCAACCTGTTAGCTTTTATGCACTGCTTGAAGTAGCAATGCATTTTTATAATGTGTGCCAGAACTAGTTTTGATTTCTAATTCTCATTAACTTTCTTTAACTTTAGCATACATTTGTTGTCCAAGATTTTCCTACTCACAGCAACACCTCCTCCTTCAAGTGACATGATGCGTCGCCGTGAGAGAGCCAACACATTTTGTGAATCAATTCGTGCTCTTGATGCTACCGGTTTGCTCCTTTTAATTATTCTTCTATTTTTCTCCTTCATACATCTCTTTACTTTCTGAAGATATAAATGCTCTTCAAAATGATCAGTCTCCAGGTTTAGCTGCTTCTTGAGAGATAAATCAGAGTACAATAAACTATGTATTGCAGTTGACTGATACAGGTGGTTAATATCCTGAAATTTGGTTGTGAAGCTACCTTTAGCAATAATGGTTGATTAAAGTGATTCGTGGAGTTTTGTCCCATCAAGAGGAGTTAATTACCTAAAAAATGGCCGATTTTTTACTTAAATACTTGCTGAAGTTAGCATAAATGGCTGATTGTGATTTGTTGGGTTTAGTGTGCATCCTTTTCTTGTTCATGTTAATACAAGTGTGTGACGGACCTGTTCTGAGATAGTTAAGTGAGAGCCAGGAAACTCTCAAATTAGTGAAAGAGGCCATAGTTACCGAAGGTTTGGCAGAAACATGACTGCTGGGACTGTCTCTACTGAATACTAAAGCATTCATTATGTAGTCTCTAAGCTATGAAGGTGCAACTGATCTATCAAATGTCAGAGGGGATGCAAAAGTCAGAAGAAGGTCTAAGGACAAGTTCTATTGATCTCTTTTCCTCTGGTTGTGTAGTGTACTACTGATAATACAAAAATGTAACTACATGTGCTATTGAAGTCTAAATGTCGCGCACTGACCTTCATCTGCTTTTCGCATTTTGTCTGGACAGTTTCATTGGAAGCTTCCTTTACTCAGTTTATGATTGTTCTGCTGCAGATCTTTCTGCTTCAAGTGTCAGAGACTTCCTTCTACCTGCAATTCAAAATCTGTTAAAAGATGCTGATTCTCTTGATCCAGCACACAAAGAAGCTCTGGAGATAGTAATGAGGGAAAGATCTGGTGGAACATTTGATACGATTAGTAAGGTAATGGGTGCTCATCTGGGAATTGCATCATCAGTAAGCAGCTTCTTCGGTGAAGGTGGTTTACTAGGGAAAAGGGAAGCTGGAGATCCAACATCACCACCACCACCAGTGGAAGTTGAACCTCTGAGGCCTGTCCTCACACATGCAGCACCAGCAGAAGACACAAGATTTAGGCGGATCATGAGAGGTGGCTTTACAGACATGCTCAGAGGAAAAGCAAAGGGCGCCGAGGATACTCCCCCAAGTCAATGATAATGGCTCTTCCTTCTGCAGGAGATTTAAAAAGGAAAGTAAGTTCTGTATGTTGTGTAGTAGACTACGATGCTTCCATTTGTTGATTCTGCGCCAAGTTTTCCCTTCACAGGGATGAAATTTTGCAATTTATTTGATTCTTTATGTACAAGAAATGTTATGAAAGGAGAAAGTGTGTACATTTACTAGTTGTACAAATGATATGAGAGATTCATAGCAGTCTTGTTTCCCCGAAACTCTAGCCAGCAACCAAACAGACCTTTGATAATAGACATATATTAAATAGATACATATATCCATTTCTATAATCCATCTCAATTTCATGCAGTCTTTCTGTTCTTGTCAAATAAATTGAATTTAGTATCAAGTATAGAAATTTCATATATTTGGGGATAGTTACATCCTATTTTGAAAGTTTTCTCAATTATAAAAATCTTGAATTTTTCATTGCTCTTTGATACATTTTTTGATTGTCCGATATTGCAAATGATACATTACTTAATGGGAGGGATATATCGAAGAGGGGATAGAGATGTATCCGAGAGAGGATGAATGTATCCGAAAGGGTTAGGGATGTATACGAGAAGGGTGTTTTGTAATTTTTTTAATTGATATGAAATTTTAGAGATTATGATATCTTAAGTTGTGTATTTATGTTTTTCCTTCCATGCATGTCCACCTAGATTTGTAATAATGTTTGTGACTATTTTTTTTTTTTATGGAAATACTCCTTCCATTTCAAATTAATTGAATTGTTGAGGTGTTTCACACCCTTTAAGAAAAGAAGTTTAAGACATAACTGTCACAACCCGATTCCTCGAATCATGATGGCACCTACTATAACCTACTAGTAGGTAAGCCAACCTGTAACCCGGAACAACAAGTAATGAGTTTGTGGGCAGAAACTAAACAAGAGTAGGCAAAATTTAAGATAACAACATAAACAGGCGAAAGCAAACCAAAACATATATACAAATAAAGATCCCTCCTAGAACCTAGAAGTCACTAGTACAGAGCTACTAACAAAACCAGTACAAGTCCCAAAAGTGGACCACAGAGATTGGACTGTCTCGAAAGATAAAAGACAAGTCTATATACACAGATGGAAACTGAAATAGTACAAAACGTCGTGTGCTCACCCCCGTCTTCGGATCAGACTACTCCAAATTGGATCAACGCTGGCCACTGGTGCTCGGACCTGCATCACGAAATAGATGCAGAGCATAACATGAGTACCAAAATAATAGGTACCCAGTAGGCATCATAGGCCGATTGAACTTGAAAAGTAAAGGCAATATGAAAAGAATGAATAACATAAACCGAAGGTCAAGAGCGGAAATCTAAGTAACAATGGAATGCACAAGAGTGTAGAAAGAACTAACTAAAGTAATCTATAAGCTAACTACACCTAACTGGACCCCATAAGCCCAGAAGGTACACTCGTGCGCAAGTTAAATAAAAACCTGAACGGACCCCCATAAGCCCGACGAGTACACAGAACAACTATAACTAAAGGGAATTACATATAAGAACCCAAGAACGAAAAACATTGAACCAGAACTTCAACCCCAATTGGTAGAATCTGACAGTACGGAGGCCGGACCACGAACCGGATGCTCACCAGAAGTACCCAAGTAACCAATCACAAGTATCAAGTATCTGAGGCCGAAACTCTAACCGAATGCTTTGTATAGGTATCTGGGCAAAAGAGGTCGGAACTCTAACCGGATGCTCTATATAAGTATCTGGGCTATAGAGGCAGAAACTCTAACCGGATGCTCTATATAAATATCTGGGCAATAGAGGCCGGACCTTAAACCGGATGCTCTATAAGTATTTGGGCAATAGAGGCCGGACTTTAAACCGGATGCTCTATAAAGGTGCCAATGTAACTACTGAAAGAGTCTCAATCGATCCATACTCATAAATGTTCGTGAAACGCCGTCCACACATAACCAATCAATGTAAGTCCTTGAAACCAAATCGAAAACCAAATTCAAATGGTGAAGCAGAACTAGTGTCGCCGATGTAACTCGTGAAGTCGTAACATAGGGGAAAATAAGGCTAACTATAGTCGGAGAAAGCGTATCGCCTAACTAAGGCCCAAACTATCAGACTCAAGTCTGCTATACCAGTCTACAGGGATCTAAGCCGGCCGAGCGACGTCGGGGCAAAACTAAGGCCTATTGGATCCGACTCATGTATTTCTCAGGCAAGCCCTAGTCAAACCTAAACTAAGGTCCAACATGCTTCAAATAAACAATAATTAAACATGCAAGCACTCCACATAGAGAGTAGGGTCCATTAATAACACAAATCATGCTCACAGTTACTCGATAATTCCCAAAATAAGCCGAAAACATGATTTCTTAACACCTATGCAATATTCAATAACTACCCAACCCAAATCCCAACTAATCAACATGCATTCACAGTCTCGAGCTCAATATAAGAGAGGGAAACCGTAGCCTACCTGTAGGCCGATCACACGCGCTCCAAAATCACTTCTCCGGAGATTTCCCTTTTCGAACATCCTCGAAACGCTGCCCCGCTATCAAAAATAAAGTCACAACGTTATTACGGTCGTTTAGACACCAAAATCACAACAAACGGAGACAGGTCAATTTTGGAGTCAAAACAGGAATCGTGAAACCCGCACCGAACTGTCCTAATTTGACTCCGTCAAGACATCCTAAACAGCACCCCAAACTTGTGTTCTAATATGGAACACAATTCGGGGCTCAAAACGCAGCAAAAACCAACAAGCAAGAAAATCACACTTTAATCAACTAAAAAAGAAAACAGCAGCAGTCTAAACTTGAAATTTACAAGAATCTAATGGTGCCCAACACTCCTTGAATACTCTACGACGAAGCCACCACAATTCTCAACATGTGGGACTTCGAATCACCCAAAACCGAGCTAAAATGAGTGAGATATGACCAAAACAAGAATGCCAAAAACAAAAGCTCGAAAAAGGGTACTGCAGTCAGGTTATTGCGAAATTTACCTCGAACTACGTGCACCCAACAACTTCCAAACATTCTACAGCGAAGCCACCAAAAATACGAAGCTCCCGCACTTTGAATCACCTAATTCGGATGAAAGATAAAAGAGTTATGAGGGTTTGAAGTTTGGAAAAATGTTACTGTTAATTCTACATTTATAGCAAATTTTCTGCAATTTTTCTCAAAACTTAAAAACTCCGACGGGGTGTTGGAACCCCATGCACGCAAACGAGATATGCAACCATACCAAATTCGATATTCCGGACTCAATGGCAGAGTCAAAATTTTCATAGGAGGTCATCTTGATAAAAAGTGGGTCCCACACCCAAATGTCATTTTAAGTCAAAAACCACAAAAGAACTCTGAAAAAATATCAAAAATCTCGAGACACAAAAGAAAGGTCAATCTAGACCAAACTTGACATTCCGGAACTAACCGCGCTGACGGAATTCTCATCTGAGTGCGTTTACTCAGAATGTTGACCAAAGTCAAACTTAGGCTTAAACTTAAAGTTAAAACGCCTAATCGCACCAACTCACACTGAAAACCTCGGGAGTCATGTCGACCATGCTGCTAGCCTTAAATGATCCTTCCGGAGCTGATGAAATTGTCAGAAATGGATTCCGATATCATCTTCTTGAACTTTTGAACGAAAATGATCGTTCAAGATTCATAAGCTCCAAAACACTAAAACTCACACTATAACCAAACGAACGACCAGGTGACCGAACTGTCAGTCCCAACAAGTCATAAATGACTTGGGGTCGCTACAGGAACGCTCTAAACGACACACAGAAGGCAAGACACAGAAATGACCAGGAGGGTCATTACAATAAATTAGGCATAACTTTTAATTTTTATCCTTATTAATTATTATCAAATTTATGATTAAAATAACTAAACATCAATTAGTAACTAATTTCAATACTAACTAATGAAGGGTAAATTTGAAAGAAAATTTTAAAAACAGTCTTGAAAATTGAACAATTAAGTTAATTTGAAAAATGAAAAATGTCTCAACAATTCAATTAATTTGAAATGGAGGGAGTAATTAATAACTATTTCCAATACCAACTAATGAAGGGTAAAATTGGAAGAATATTCTAAAAGTAGTCTTAAAAATTAAACAATTAAGTGAATTTGAAAAATAAAAAATGTCTCAACAATTCAATTAATTTGAAATGGAGGAAGTATTGATAAACTTTAATGGTGTCATGATTATTTGATATGTCTATTACGTAATAACTGGATAGATGATTAGCATTAATATTCTTAAGGAAAAAGTTAACTTGTGATTTCTGAATTCACACGAGTACATCTCAATCTCATCCGGTCTACGGCTGAATTAAAATTTAATTAGTACAAAAAATGTAAGTGAGAATGGAGATCTAGCAAGCCAATTGATGTACGACCGATATGTCTTAATTTTGTGATTTAGATCTGATATACTTTTTATTAATTATTACACAAATAATTTAGATATAGCATTTTGATTTAACGAGAGTCAAAAAATTTAAAAATTATTTTTTAAGTTAAGTATTTTGCTGGTTAAATTTATTTTTTCACTTATTTTTTTGTAAAATTTATCATAGATGTCTCAATTAATTTTTTATATATACCAAAAATATTACAATATAGCCAAAAAAAATATTTTAAATTTTTTCCTCATTCTTTTATTAACAGTTTTTTCTTTTTATTTCTTATATTTTTCACTAAAAATGAAAGAAAAAAATTAAATAAAAAACTCAAATAATGTTAAACAAATAAATCTATAAGGTAGATATTCAAATTAGCCATTGAATTAAAGAAGTCAAAAAAAAAACTGCGTGAGAGAAAAATCATATATGCCAGGGAAACTTTGCCAGAAGAAACATATATACCCCTACGTCGATTTTTTAAAAATAAATTTAAAAATATTTTCACTTCCATTAAATTAAAAGGGTATATGTGAGCCACTTTTATAATAGTAGAATTATGTGCAAACCACTTTTATAACGAGTTTTTTTTATCAATTTTAAATCACAAAGTTAAAAGGTGTATCGGACCATTTTCCCTTCCATCTAAGTGAAAGATAGCAACACTTTAATATTGTAATTTTTATATGCCACCAGTGATGTGTACTTCATTTTCCAAGTTAAACAGTCATTTTAAGTTCT